CCCCCCCACACACACACACCGGTCCACCTCGCACACACCTCTTCCTTCTTCTGGACTAGAGACCTGCACCAAGGAGAAATATTTTTATTTTGTATAACAGACAGATATTGTTAACAAATTAAATATTTATTTTCATTTCAGCAAAAATTGTCTACTAGCTAACAGCAAAGACTTTTTTATAACGGGGGGAAATATTTATATGTAAAGGTTTTTTGATTTACAGCAGTATGAGAGATGAAAATATGAGAATACGTGCCAATTTTTTCACAAGTTAAATAGAATAATATTGTGGTGCCTTTTGCTGTATGCTGAAGTCGGAGGTCCCATTGAGTTTTGTAGCCTTTCTTATGAAGACTTCTCATTTTTATATAGACCGACCCTCTTCCTTACTTTTGCTTTGTTTTGTTTTTTTTTTCTCTGATTTGGGATCCTCCTCTTTTTGAACTGTGATCTGATTATGTCATCGTGCAATATTGAGTCCTTCTGTGTCAAAGGTATCTGTTTACATAGTTTTGATTCACGCAAGGCGCTCGTTTCACAGACATGGGTCACTGACGCATTTGGGTGTGCTGGGTAGTTTTGTCACTTTGGATGAACATGCATCATTCATTTACATCTCTGCTCACCGTCTTATTTGTTTCTTCTGCGAGAAGTGGAACTGTGAACGGGGATACGACGTCACATTCTCATGGGCGTGATCAGGGTGCTGCCATAACACAGGTTGGCTTTGAGTATGTGTGTACAGTGTGCGTGCAGCTCATCGAGCCTCATATGGGTGATGTCTTGTTTTACGAGCACGTTCCTTTCACCAATCCTCGCGCTGCCAGAAGCTCCATTGCACTGACCCTTCCCTCGTGAGCAGGCAGGGAGCCGCCCACCGAAACCCACCAGTTGAAATGCAGCCTGATTCTGGCCTCCTGTGGACTGCCAAGCCCACATATTTCCTATGCCAGCAGCTTAGAGCCGCACTGTGTCTCAGGACTTCCCCATCACATCATCACAGTCAAAAGACTTGAGCGGAGAGAGCTCGTCATGTCAACAACCTCTCAGTTCGCGGGC